CAAGTACAGGAATGCCCTACATGTGCAGATGTTACAAGTTCTCTAAATGACTGAGGTGAAAATTCTATGAACTGTTTTATCTGGAGATGGTTCTCTGAAGCATAATGTTTTCATTTCATTTTTTTGTTCTTTGTATTATATGGAATAGGGCATCTATCATAATTTAAACTTTAGGGGATAAAACTAAAAAAAATTTGAAGAAACATTATATGAAGCAAAATGGCTATGACTAGAAATAGATATTAAATGCATATTTATAAATACATAAAAGTAAAATGCCCAGGTGCCTCCTCTACTCTGCGGAGATAGTCAGCTATATTTTCTTAAAAGCTGCATGTTTCTTGACTCTCAATCCAAATCATATGGCAAGTGGGTTGGAAACAACAGGCACGCATGTCAGGGGCTAAGGCGCCAGGCGACCCTGGCACGCTGTCAGGCCAACTGCTGGGCTGCTGCTTGGCATCACTGCAAACCTCTCCTGCTGGCAGCTCATGTTCCAGGCTCCCGGCTGGGCTGTGCCATTTGCCCTGCATCGTTGTGGGCAGGTAGGCAGGCAGGAAGGCACAAGTGGGGATAGTTGAGCAATGTGGGGCTGCTGTGACCACAGCTGGTGCCAAGAGCCTGGCACACAACCCACCCTTCCCCCTTCCTCCTCACGAGCACTGCAAACAAAGGGTGTGGGTAATAACTCCAATACGTTATATACAGGCTCCAATAGAGTTTGCTTATTCTGTTACGAGGTTGCTTTTTGTTTTCAATTTAAGTTTTAATTATCTCTGGGCTATAGGGAGAACCAGATATTTCCATCACCCATTTTCCCCAAGGAGGATTGTACACATTCTCACAGGCACACTTTTAAGACACATCAAAGTGCATCTCAGAGTAGGAAAAGAGAAATGAGTTCAGAATAAAAAGGAAATATTTACTATAAATAGCAGCTATCTTATTATTTTAAAGAGGCATTTCTCAGCAAGGCAAAGGGGTCTTGAAGGTTGTGTTTATGGAAAAACACACACACAGACATTCTCTATTCTCTTTTTTCCTTGCTGGGAATATTTATTCAAAGTAAACAAACCATTTTAAAATTCAGATGATAAATAGAGAAACTCTAAAGTGCAGAAAATAAACAGATTCCACTCATTGGCTCCTTCAAGAGCCAAGTAGTTTACCCTAATTTTTTTTTTCCTTCTAACCTCATCTAGATTCCCAGCTGAAGGAGCCCGTAGCCTGATTCTGTTCAGTTCTAATGTGTCGTGAGAAGAAATTCAGAATATCTCTGTGCTAGTCTTGCTTGGAATTGTAGAACCCAAAGTTGCTCTTCTCCTCTAGAGGTCATACATACATCATACATACATACACCATACATACATACACACATACATCATACATACATCATACATACATATATACATACATACATACACACATCAGTCCTAACACCACTCGCCAGCCCTATTGTCAGTTTGTTGGAGAAGTGTCTTTACCTCCTGTCAAGCAATGACCTAAAAAAGTTTAATCTGGTTAACAATTTCAAGGTCAAAGTGGGTACAATGCCGTCTCTTTTGGCCTAAGAGAAAAGGGAAACTGCTTGTTCTAAGTCTAGATTTCTGTTTGTTCCTGTCCCATTCCCCAGGCTTTGGTCCCCCTAAATGTATTAAAGCCTCACATTGGAGTTTGTGGTCTTTTCCACATTATCTCAGAGCTTTAATTCCTGTGATCAGAACTGGTGCCCTCTCTGCTCAATTTTTATACTGAATGATAAGCAAAGCAAAACTTTCCAACCTAAATAGCAATGAAACGCTAAACTAGGAATTTATTGACGTTCCCTAAACTGACATTCAATGATCAAAATAAAATGCATACATAAAATCCTAGTCAATTTGCATACCCCGTTCTTCCACATAACAAAAAAAAGCTATTTTAAACCTATGACTGTGACATGCATTTGTTTTTAATAATGTCTCATTTTTAAACAACCATATATTCAAGGTCTTTATCATTCAAGGTACATGAAGGTTGTGCATTTAATCTTTAGCATGGTTGTAGAAGATGTGATTCACAGAGTAGAGAATAGATAAAAATAAACACGCAGTAGCATGGTGCCGAATCATCAGAACTCACCATCTTATCAACAAATAGAAGTCATTCTTCTTTATTTCTTGAGCAAAGCAGTTTCATATAAGATAAATAGCTTTCAGTCAGAATAGCCTAACATGCAATATGCATCTTTTTGACATGTATATTTTAATACTACTTTAGACCATAAGATTAAAAGAGGAAAAGTCTCAGGGTTGTGTGTTGAGAACAAACACTGGTTGAATCTGCATTTTTTTCCATTTTTCATCTCCTAGAATTTGGCTCTGTATGGGTATGTTTGTACATTACTGGATTTTATTAAACGGTCAACCTCTAGTGACCTTCAAGTACTGTTTTCTAAAGAGAAATAATTCAGGGAATTTTTATGCTTTTTATATCAAACATTGAAAGTCACATCATTGTTTGGAGAGATTGTCTTTTGTTTTCAGAGAGCAGGGCATAGTTGAATGTGTTTCTGATGGGTTTAGGAGACTGGGTTCTAGGTATGTGACCTTGAGAAGGCTACCCTAGTTCTAGTTTCCTCATCTTGTAAAGGAAGAATTTGAGTCAGATGGTTTTTAAAATTATACCTAGCTCTAAGATGATATCATCTATAAATTATTGTACTTTTGTTAACAGAGAAAGTAGATGGGTGATGTGGAAGGCAGAATAAAGAAATTAAGTGGATACCTTAAGTGGCCCAGGCCTTTGGACTGGACTGATCGTCCCTCTGTGGGTCTCCGCTGAGCACACTTTCATGACTTAAAGTCCTGTTTACCAAGCCCCTCTGGCCCATTCCATTCACAAATCCTGCCTCAATGTAGCTATACAAGCCTCTGAACCTTTAAGGGTGTCATGCTGTTACAAAACTTCTGTTCTCACTTAAATATTAACTTCATTAACTTCCACTTTCTGAGATGGACAACTGAACTGAAGTTCTTGGGGAAGTTGACAAAACAGCAGAAAGCTTGCATTTTCAATAGGCATTGTTCTATTCATATTTACTGGTTTGTATGTGCGGAAGAAAGAACTTGTTTTTTTTTTAAATTATTTTTTTTTTAAGAACTTGGTTTTTTTTTAGTAGACTGCCTTTAATTAAAACTCCAACTCTTTACTAATCTAGCTGTTTGGCCTCTTTGAAATTCATCTCTGAAATATTTTCTCATCTATAAAATGGGCAAAATAGCTACATGGATGTTATTGTAGAAGAAAAGCAATTATTTACAAGTGTTCAAGAAATACTGTTTTTCCTCCATTTCAGTATCAGCTTATTTGGGAGAGTACTGATAATGATACTAAAAATCATCACTTTCATGACAGAATCCATTTCTTAGTATAATATTGCATAGTTTTGAAATGTTTTGAAATGACGAGATGTGAAAGGAACTGCCTCATTTACTTGGAAGATATTCCTAGACCAGTTTACACTGATCAGTTTTGTGTTGGCTTGTAAATAGGTTACTTTCTTAAGTCTGACCTTTGTTTGCCTCTGGGACCTGATTCCTTTCTCTTCTGCATCTTCTAGCTGCCACAGCTTCAAAGAAGGTATACAAACTCCTAAGCCTAAAGGATGAAATCAGTTCTGTGGGTGTCAAATGAGTGGTGCATGTGAAAACTCCTTGAAAAGGATGAGGACTTTTGCGAGCTCAAGGTAAGGATTCAGTAAGGTATGTTTTCTATAAAGTAAATTAATTCTTACTGGACAAAAGACCCATGTATAATAAATATGTGTGGTTCAACACTGCCATTTCGTGAGACATATGAGGGAGAATATAGGAAAGCTCACGAGGGGACCATCAAGGCCTGGGTCCTATGTAGAACTTTTCACCTGACTCTCAATCTGGGCTATTACTTGCAATATAAGAAAGTCTAACAACATCACAAACACTGGTCCTAGCTTCCTTATTCACCAGGTGCATAAGCTTGGACAATTTCTTATCTTCTCATTTCTCATTATAAAAGTGGGGGTGATACCAACTCAGAGAGTTGTGGACAGCTTTAAAGAAGATGGTTTAAGTGTAAAGACCCTGGCTCAAAGTTTTAGAGAACATGTTCAAAAAAATAATTAATGGTTATTATTAATATTACTTTGGAAAGAGAAGGTTGGATTAGGGGATAGAAGTTCTTTTTCATCTTTAGAATTAGATATCGTCCCCCATTTTTTTTCTAATGAAATACTCCATACAGATTTTGGCACTCCCTGAGCTCAGGGTTTAGGGAGCCCCGTCAGATTTGGTAAGAATAATGGTCAGATAGGGCAGTTGTGAAAACAAAGGCTAGCTTATCTTTATAAACCCAGTTGGTGTGGCCAATATTCAAGTGAATCTGCATGTGTTACTCCATCTTTAGTTTATACTTACAAATACAGAGAACCACCACAGATAGTAAAAGTAAGTGCTGAATATTTTTGCAAGCTATTATAGCGTTTTGAAAGAATACCATAACACGTACAAGATGGGGCTATATGGTAATGAAATGAATTTTCTTGTGTGGTGCAAAGGCTCATTAGCTCAGAGCCATGCTCTGCGCGGTTCTACAAAAGGTGCGTATGACAGTTCTCACTAATGGCTCATGCTGCCGCTAAATATTTGTCTCTGACTCCCCCAGTCTTGGGGAATGCAGACATCCTTTTGTGTGTAAATTAGTAGCTCTGCAGAATCTAAATGAAGTACCCAGTAAAGCCCTTTCATTTTCTGGATCCAGTAAGCAGCAAAAAAAAAAAAAAAAAAAGTCCTCTTTCTATTTATAGATCTGACCATTTGACTATTTATAGATCTGATGTTTCCAAATGTATAAGAAAATACGTTTTTTATTGGAAAAAATGCTTTATATGATTCTCAGCAAATAAAACTGGGAATTTGTTTTTAATGATTTTACTATTTACATTAACCTTTCATTCTCAGTGAGTAGCTACGCATACTTACTTTCTTCATCAAGGAGATTTTCAGCAGCTGATAGTAACCGCATTCTGTCTTCTGGGTTTTTAATGTTTAATTCAATGAGATGACTCTCTTTTATATCCTTTAAATCTTCTAGGGTCTCGTAACCATTGAGCAAAAGTGTTGAGGTATATTCCTGTATGGAAGAGAAAACTGTATAATATAAGCTACTCAGATGCAAACATTTTATTTTTAATTATTTTTAGATTTTTTAAAAGTGTAGAAATGGAAACAATGCATTGGAACCAAAAGGTGCCAACCTTTAATTTTATTTTATTTGTACTAGTTTTCTACAGATGAACGCAGGACCTTTAAACAGCATGCTGTACATTTGTCACCTTCTGGAAGGACAAATGTAAAGAAGAAATGATCACCTTAAGCTATGCAATGCTAAATCAGGAATCAGTTAAATAGCTGGATCACTCATCCCATCTGGCACATTTTCACTTCTCAAATAGCAAAATTGACAAAGCTAGTGTTTTTTTAAGTCTGTCAATAAAATGCCTCTCATAGAGTATATTATAATAATATTTCTGGAACTATATCTCTTCCTATTTGCTTGATCGCAAAATCATCTACTCTCATTAACTTCTTGAGGCAGATCAAAAAATGAGTTTGAAACAGATACAATTTATATAAGTATACCTAACATTTTGGTTGAAAGATATTTTATAAACCTAGGGCATTCCAGACTTTCTATTTAATTAAAAGCTTATTATTAAGCATTAGAACACTGTGGTTGGTAAAAGTATTGTTTCCATTTCTTAGCATGTATATTTTGTCCATCATTTGCATTAATATATATTAGTTTAAAATTCATAGGCTTCTGATTTCAAAGTTTATATGTTATTTATGTAACCTCTGTTCTCTGTAACAGAATAAAAATGCAAAGTGAATTGAAATGCTTTTCAACTTCCTCAAATATTCCTCCCATTTTACTTGATCATAATTCCAATATCCTTATTTTAGTTACTAAAATTGAATAAGATGATATAAAAGTTTTAAGTAATCAGAAAGAACTTATTACTAGCCCTTTATTTATTTAGAAAAAGGAAAGAAAGAGTAGCAATTCTGTTTTAAAATAATGTATCCTAGAAGGATCACAGAATCAGAACAGGAAAAAAAAAATCCCAATCTGATGTAACTGAGAGTTCTTGAGTAAATTTCGCTTCCTCAGACCTTGGTTTTTTCATAGGTCACAGAACAAACAAGTAGCTGAAGTAGGATTCAAACATGTGCCTCCTCCAAGGAGTATACCATTTAGAGGACACCAATAGTAATACTGAAACGTCTATGTAGTGAATCTACAGATTGGAATACAACTAGGTGATTCTGGAAAAACAGTTAAGGAAAGATTAATTGGTTATTTTCTTGATGATGAATTTTGAAAGCTATTAAAATACTGCTGTATTAGTTTTAGAAGTAGATTGCAAACCAGTAAATCTAGTGAGGCTAGGCATAGTGTAGGTACCTGCCATTTAACAACGTAGAGATACTTCATAAAAATTTCTCTAATATAACAAGAAAATAACTGGATTATAAATATAGACAACAGTTTCCCTAACACAATCATTATGGGGCCTTAATGATCAGTGTTTTCTCATAAATTTCTTTAAAAACAAATTTGGCTACCTTCTATTGAGTTGCTTTTGATCTCTGCTCTATAGGAAATACAATTTTCTTGTCATTCTTCCTTTCAATTCTTTGAGTTTTACCTTCACTCTTTATATCCTCTTTATCATTCTCATTACCATGTTTTCTCTGGGTCTTTTATTCCCCCAAGTATATTTCACTTTCCACTGCACTTTCTTGTTCTAATCTCTAGGTGCTACATACGTGTTTAATTGCTCAGTTGTGTTTGACTATTTGCCACCCTTTGGATTATAGCCTGCCAGGCTTCTCATTCCATGGGATTTTTCAGGCAAGGAGTGGGTGGCCATTCCTTCTACAGGGGATCTTCCAGACCCAGGGGCCGAACAGGAGTCTCCTGCGTCTTATAGTGTCTCCTGCATGGCAGGCGGATTATTTACAAGCTGAGACATCGGGGAAGCCCAATCTCTACTGTGACTGCTAAACATTGTTAGAATTTAGTCCACGTGATGTTATATCAAGACCAGTCCATGCATAAAGAAGTGGTTATGGGTAAGTAAGAGCTGTCCTTGGAAAACAGATTTTCCCTTGCTGTAAGTCATGTATTTTTTTAGCAATACAAACACTGATCCATTCTTCTCAATTATTCCATCTGTATGCCATCAAAATCAAACAGGCCATGGGTTTGCTAACCTGAAGGTGAATCCTCTCTAAGAACTCCTGCAGAGTCTCAGGCTTTTCCATTCCACTCCTTCTTTGTGTCTTCATCTTCTTGGGGGCCGCTTCTTCTTCTGATATGACATCCACATAAATGAATTTGAAGTTTCCCACCTTATTGTTCAACATTCCTGTCCACATCCCCATTGGCGTTTTGCAGATAATGTCTATGATATCTCCTTTCTAAAGACAAAGAAATATAAATTAGATTTCAGAGAACTCTGATGCTATGGCAATTGGTAAGAAAAAAAAACTGGAATCATTGAAAATTAGAATAAGGACATTCCACTAAAGAGGTTTAGAGTTAAATAAATCTAAGAGGAAATTTCTTTTAAAAGTTAAAGGAAGCTATTTGCTAGTAATGTTGAAGAAAACTCCAACGTTCTTGAAGAAAAACTCCTAAATGTATTTGATGATGTGTTTATGTTTTTGAAATCATATCAACTTATCAGCTTACATTTGTAGAGCATTCTGTAGTTTACAAAACATTTTGCATACAGTAAGCTATTTTATGTATTATCTCTTCAACATATATGCTAGGTATAATTATTACTATTACTCTAAATATTATGGAAAGAAAAAGGCAAGGAATAATTTCTCAAGAATTCACAGCAAGTTAGTGGCAGCACCAGAACTCAAGCCTAAGTTGTTTGAATTAAAAAATGATGCTCTTTTTATTTATCCTGTCAAAACAATACACATGTAGCATCATCCCTGGAGGGGCTCCCAGGTTGGGAAGGGGAAGAGAGAGAAGTCTATGGCTCTGTCTGTGCTTCTAGTTCATCAGAAAAATTCATATACTTTGTGAAATGAATCTGCCTAAAGTATTGCATCCATCTAAAATAATGAAAATGTTCAGAACTTTGTACATATAAAATATGTAACAAAATTATATATATACTAAGGATAAATTATGCTATTTATTCTAGATTAATTAATACTTAATCAACTAGTAGTTATTTAATTAATACTTAGATTAAACTTCACAGCATAGTTTAAAATATGAATGAAATGCACTGGGACTGACAGAATAATTGGTCTGTCTCTTTATTCACCTCTAAGACTAAGACTGCAGGAGTAATTGTTAAGAGTAAAAAACTTCACACGGGTATTTTTTTTGGTAAAGGAAGTTGATTTCTATGTAAATACAGTGTCTACATTTAAGAGTCATAATTACTCCTTTAAGACTTTTAGCTGTCTACCTTAGAGATTACATTATAGATTCTGACATTTTTGCCATTTTCGACATCTACCCTCAAACAAAGTGTTAAAAATGCTACTAAAAATTTTTTTTTTCTGCTGCTCTTGAATGTGCATTCTTCCATCTAATACACAAATTGTATTTGTAAAAGTAGAATCCAATGTGATTAAAAGATCTGGTCTTTCCAATTTATTGACAATTTGATCTTCTGATCCTATGAGCTGCTCATCTAGTTTTTCCTGCCATTACTATAGAGAATCAAATCCTAGGCTAGATGACTTCCGTTAAGCAGACCTAGAAAATCCCCAGAAGCTCTAGGGGGTTGTCTCAAGGTATGGTGGTCCTATGCTGCACCCTTTAAACTTTTAAAAATACATTACAGGTAAGCCCACAGGCTACAGGCACAAATCCAAGTTCATTTCGGATAAGACCCTGGGTGGGGACAATAGTATTCAATACCCAGTGGTGTCTGTGGGATTCTTATTGTGTCCTACAAGAGCTCCACAAATGTCCCCTTAAGCAGCGCTAGGAGGGTATTGTAGGGAAAGATGAAATCTATCCTGAATCAAAATGTTTTCCATATGTTCCCTTCTGCTGCCCTCCCTCCACGATAGTTGCTCGGCTATAATCCTCCTTTCCCCAAGACTTCAACTCATTTCATAGAAACAAGTAAGGAGCTAACTGTGGAAAGTAATGTTTTCCTCATTCTCCAGCTGAGCTTATTCTGATTTGATATCTTAAAAGGGATAAAGAGAGGAGCTGAGTGCCTTGAATGTTCAATAATAATATTAACACTTCATAGCTTATAATATTTATAGTTAACATTGGTTCAGTATTGACAGACAGTATAGAAAATTAATCATTTCTACCCTTTAGCTATAGCGACTTTGTGTTACTAAAATGAATAATCCAACATCTATAAAGTATTTTACTACTAAATCTTCTTCTATTTGTACTATTGTAACACCTCCTCCCCTTGAGTATAAACAAAAGTATGAACATGATGAATTTCAAATAAATTTCATGATGTTAGTATGTTATATGACAGGAGCAGCTATGCAGATGTAATTAATACCCCAAATTTATTCATTTTGGAATTAAAAATAAGTTATCTGGATATTTCTTACTTAATTGGGTAGGATCTCTTAAAGTAAAGAGATCTGAAGCATGAGTGAGTTTTCTGCTATAGCTCTTGAAGGAGTGAACTGCCATGTTAAAGAAAATCATGGCTGGCAACCTCAAGGAACTGAGAATGGCTCCCAGTTAATACCCAGTAGGAAAGCAGGAAACTCAGTGCTACACCCAAAAGGAACTGAATTATGCCAACAGCTAGTGAGCATGAAAAAGGACCCTGAGTCTCAGATATGATCACAACTTCAGCTGACACCTTGATTTCAGCCCAGTGAGACCTTAAAAAGACCACCCAATTGAGCCCACATGTAAGACCTACAGAACTGTGAAATAATAATACATTTCTGTTGTTTGAAGCCCTTACAGCAAAAGAAAATGAATGTAGAAGGCAACAGCGACGAAAAGGGAATTCAGGAGGAAATATCATTGAGAGAAAATTGTCAGGTTACTCGTGGCAAGTACTGACTAAAGTATTAAAATTGCCTGACCAATTCTGGTTCCTAAGGCATTTGCTCTCCTGGGCTCTTGCCTGGTATTTCCACTTTCTCTCTGTCTCCTTGAGTTCATTATTTTTACTCCAACAAGTATCAAGTACAACTAGGCACTTCTAGTAATATGTGAGGCTTTTGGTAGTCAGAAAAAAAGTAGCTCCTTCTTCCTTAAAAGGCTATGATTCTAGGAGGTGGGTCATAAAGGATCTTGCTTTGATTTATGTCATCGAGTGTTCTGTAAAGCAATTATCCTTCCATAAAAAATAAATTAATTTAAAAAAAGGCTATGATTCTGCATTATATACAAAGCAAAACTTTTGTGAATAGCTTCAAAAGACTGATCACCCTACCTTACCTCTCGTGTGTTGTTTGAATTCTTGCTGTGGTACAGTCCTCAGTTCTCCTATTGGGAAGATATATTCACCCCTGTTTCCGCATACTTGTACCTCCTGAAAGAGATCATACACCCATCCCTAGACAAACCATTCAGAATGCACACACCTTGATTTTGAGGGAATCAGTGTCATAGGGACTTGGTGTGAAATCGGTATGCACTCGGGCACGGCCACAGAACGGTCCAGAGTAGGGGCCATCGTCATCGAGTCGAAAGCTGTCCCGGTTACTTGTACCATCTGAGCAGCTTGTTATTCCACCTGATGAAAGCAAAGCAGACATTAACAGTTCTCATTGAAGGTTCATAACATTCTGAACCATCACCTGGACATAACTCAGCAGAAACAATGCTGTGTAACAATTGGATGCCAGCCTCCTGCGGGGGTTCTAAGTGGCTGATTGCTGATTCTTCCTCCCAGTCCTTCTCCATCAGAGACTTCTGTCCTCTGAGCCATTTCTGATCTTTAGTCAGTCAACATGATCCTTCTTTCCTCAACCACCAGTTCAAGAGCTCTCTTACTTCAGCCTCTGTGATCTGATCCAGTAGCACAGTGCTTTGAGCATTGGCTACTTGCTAAAGAGACATGAAGTATATAGCCTTAACGCCCTGTACAAGGCAGATAGTGAATTTTGTACATGTAAACAAAGACAGAAACCTATAACAACAGTTTGATTTTTTGTGTGCTATTGATTAGGAATGGTCAAAGCATAAGCCACAAGTTTTCCTACAGCTTACTATGATGTAGCAAAAATGGTGTTTCAGACTTCCTACTGTGTACCAAAAGCCATTCTGAGACAACACCTCTATGTATAAAAGTTAGCATTTTTGCTTGTAGTGTGAATGACAGGGAAAGAGGAAGTGTGTTACAAGGTCTGTACTCCTAAATGGTTCAAAACTGTTCTAAACTGGGCTTTTAAAACTGCTCCAAAACCTTGTTTTCGGGTCCTCTTCCTTTCTGATTTTGAACCCCAAGGGGGAAAAAAAAGATTCCATTTTTGCTGCCTAGGGGCAAGAATGGTTCACAGGGGTGGTTACGCTGAGTCTCCCTACCACTATCAGCCATCACCTCTCTTTCTCCTTTAGTGTGGTCCTTTGGTGTTTCGTGAGGGAGCAGGCCTAGTATCTCTACCATTCATTCAAATAAGTGTAGAAATAAGATAAAGACCCCTAGGGATGCTTCATTTTTTATATAATGAAAGTCGCTCAGTCATGTCTGACTCTTTGCAACCCCATGTACTGTAGCCTGCCAGGCTCCTCTGTCCATGGAATTCTCCAGGCAAGAATACTGGAATGGGTTGCCATTCCCTCCTCCAGGGGATCTTTCCAACCCAGGGATCGAACCCAAGTCTCTGCATTGCAGGCAGATTCTTTACTGTCTGAGCCACCAGTTAAGCCCTCATTTTTTATGTGGACTGGTGTAAAAAAAAAACTTGGGTTGCACCTAGTCACTGATATTGAGCTGTTTGATAATGGCTAAGTGGACTCCCGTTTCCCTTATCCTCTCTTCCATGACCACTTCAGTCCCTGGCTTTTCATGGTATATTCAAGTTAATAAAATTCTACCCACATTTGGCATCACAATTTTGAATTTTAAAACTTCCAGCAGAAATGAATACTAATGAAATCTGAATTTCACACATGCAAAATATACCCCTCAAATGTTTCTGTATTAGCTTTTATTTCACAAAATAGCTATTCTACAGCCAGTAGGAAAGCAGGAATAAAATTCAGGATATTTTCAACATCTGGTCTTTGTGATCCATCTTCAAATAACAGAAGCAGCTGATTTAGAATGGAATGGAAAGTAAACTTTGCAAAAAACCGTTTAAAAGCCCTGAAAAGATTCAAAGGATATAAAACAGTGTACATATAAAAAATTTAAAAGGCATCCTGTAGTATCAGTAGTTTGACTAAAATATTGTAGCAGGACATATGACTGAAGCTTGAGTGACTTCTTTGTTAGAAATGATATTTTTTTAAGAAAATTCTTATTGAACACATGCTGATTCTTTTTTGTCACCTAATTGATATGTGCTCAGTCTCTCATTTGTGTCGGACTCTTAGGAACCCTATGAACTATAGGCTGCCAGGCCCCTCTGTCCATGGGGTTCTCCAGGCAAGAATACTGGAATGGGTTGCCATTTCCTCCTCCAGGGGGATCTTCCAGACCAGGGATCAAACCTGTGTCTCTTATGTCTCCCGCATTGGCAGGTGGGTTCTTTACCACTAGCACTACCTGGGAATCCCTACTAGTTGGTGATATTCCTACTATTTAGTATTTATATACCACTTCACCTTTTACTCACTAATGCTGGATGGATACCTAGAATTGATGCAAATTGTCCTGTTCTTTTCAGAATATTCCAGACAAAAAAAGGAAGGAAACAGTGAGAGGGGGAGGACAGGGAAGAAATAAATGAAAAATGGGAAAAAAATGAAAGAAAAAGAAAGATAGAAAGGGAAGGAGGGAGAGGTAGGAAGACAGAAGGGAGAAAAGAAGGAAGAGGAAAGGAAAGGAAAGAGTAAGTGGGGGATGGAGAAGGGGAAGGAAAAAAGGAAGAGAACAATATTTAAGTTTTCTGAATATTTCAATTCTTTTAAAAAATCTGGATTCAAAATAATGCTAGTTCTCTCCAGCATACTTTATTGTAGGATTCAGATTTAATCACCAATGTGACCTTTTTTTTTCTTATGCCGTCACTTTATTTATTTATTTATTTATTTTCATTTATTTTTATTAGTTTGAGGCTAATTACTTTACCATATTATAGTGGTTTTTGCCATACATTGACATGAATCAGCCATGGATTTACATGTGTTCGCCATCCTGATCCCCTATCCCACCTGTGTGATCTTTTTAAGTCCTATCCCAAGAGCCCTGCTGACCACAATGCTAAAATTTTCAAAATATTCTATAATTCTAATATACTATGTATGATTTTAAATAATAGCAATTCCATAGATTCAACATGCTAATCAAGTAACTGGAAGCTTGCTATTTTCACAGGCCTAAGAGAAATAGATTCATTGTTTTTAGTTAACTCAACCCAGATGTCCCATCTTGTCACTTATCCTTACTTGATGAGCTCCGCCCACTGTAGAGGCTGTCCAAGGAGTCACTGGTTTTGAGGGAGCTCTTCTCAATGTGGGTTCCAAGTGTGGGGTCACTGTTCCGGTATGGGAGGGTATCCTCTCCATCTTCCTCATCCTTCAGAAAATCATATCAGAAGTTTAGTGCAAGGAACCAATTTCCTTGGAGACTTTCACTGTGTGCATTGATTTAACAAACAAGACAATACTTTGGCAATAAAATACTTAGGAATACATCAGCATAAAATATGAGTGTCATTAATCCTTAGCTCAATTTCTAGCAAAACGTTTTTTGGTATTCTTCGAAAAATTCTTTAGCTGAAACAGTCCACATTTTGGAATTGAACTGAAATTATCCAGTTTATGTTTGTAATTAGAATGAATATCATACCAAGACTATTTAATCAGAAATGTTAGGTTTATTAACATTTGTGCTTTATCTGTTAAAGCGCTTTTATTTCTTCATACTCTCCTTATTATCTGTTTACCACCATTACTAATCCTTTGAGATCTGATATTACAAGTTTAAACTCTGCATAGTTGCTTCATGTCAGTTATTTGCACCCTACCAGATCACTAGATATGAATAAAACATGCACACTTTGCAATTCTAAAGCAAAGCTTATCTAAGAAGCTTTACAAATCTCATACGGTGCTTGCCACCTAGTCAAGTGAAAAGCAAATCTTGCATAAAATTAGGAAAGACAGACAATTTCAAAAGAAATTACATCTGCTTGAAAACATCTCAGATGTTTTCCATATTTAGATAGTTTCAACAAAACCTATGAATTTCTTAATACTCATCAAAATATAATTCAATATTCCTCATTTTTTTAGCATTTCTAAACATTGATAAAACTTCAGAATAAACATATGATATATGCTTAGTTTGATTCTCTGCTTTTATCCATTCCTTTATTCATTTGTTCAATCATTCAATACAAGCCTATAGAACATCTTCTAAGTACCTGGCATTGTTTGGGGGAACTGAGGATACGATGGTAAACAAGATTCAGGGTCATACCTTTAATAAGGTACATTTTAGGTACATTTTTAGGCTGTGTGTGTATGTGTGTGTGTGTGCATGGGTGTGTGTGCATGTGTACTCTTTGGGGAGGTTTGTGTAAGCAAAATGAACAAGACAGTTTCAGAGAATAGGTGCTATGAAGGAAATAGAACTGGATGAAGTGAGAGGTTTCGCTACTCAGATTAGGTTTGGAGGAAGGTTGATTTAGAGGGACCACCAAAGACCTCCTCCACGTGGTAACAGAGTCTGCATTATTGACCTGAATGATAAGATGATGTGACTTATATGAAGATTTGAAGATAGTATTCCACTCAAAAGAAATAGCGGGAACAAAATAGCTAAACAAAGAATTAACTTGAGTTATGCAGAGGAAAGGGTTTCCCAGGTGGCTCAGTAGGTAAAGAATCCACCTGCAAAGCAGGAGGTGCAGGCAGACAGTTTTATCTCCTGGTCAGGGAGATCCGCTGGAGGAGGAAATGGCAACCCATTCCAGTATTCTTGCCTGGAGAATCCCACGGACAAAGGAGCCAGGTGGGCTCCAGTCTACGGGGTTGCAGAGTCAGACATGACTGAAGCAACCTAACATGCACACACGCAGAGGAAAACAAGGCCAGCACAGCTGGAGCTGAGTAAGAGCAGAGTATTAGGGCTTCTCTGAGCTCAGAGAAGTAGACTGGCGCCAGGTCAGGAGGAACCTTTTAAGCCACTTGTAGTGACCATGCAAATCTCTTGCTGTTGGACCCTTCAGATACTCAGATCTCTTGCCATGGGACCCTTCTTTACTGACATCCCTAACTACCGGCCCTCTGTGTTCACTAATGTGTTCACAAGGAAGCCAGGTACCAATGACTTAATTAGTTGGGGCTACCATTTGAGTCCATGCTGGTGGGATGCGGGGCTTCTTTAATGAAAACCTTGGGTTCGAGGACTTCCTGTCAATCTGGCCAAAGCTTTCTTAAATCAGTGCTGAAGTGTGAGATTTGAATGAGCCTCCTTCTTTCTTTGTCTCCTTTTATAGTTATCAGACTTGCATTGTGTTGTAAAGGATTTTCTTGCTCATTTTTTATTTTTCTTCTTTATCTTGCACAGGCATTTTCTCCAGTAAGTCTTTGGTGTGTCTCTTCCTTTCTTGGGGTCTACTTCTCAGAGGACTGTAATGAACACATCATAGTAAGGGAATGCATTTTGGTACTGTAAAGTTTAACTGAGGGAGTGATGTGTTCTGAACTTGACTTTTCAAATATCTTTCTGGCTTTCATGTGGAGAATGGCTTTTATGGAGGAAAGAGTGAAAGGAAGGAAACAATTAGGTAATCTAGGCAAGAGAGGAGGTTGTTTACTTAATCTAAAGCAGGATTAATTTACATGGAGGTGTTAAGAGTTTTTAGATATGCGTTGGAGTTAAAACTAGAAGGATATGCTGACGAATTGCTATAAAGAGTGGGTGAAAGAATGAATTTTGAGTGATCTATAGGCTTTCTTCTTTTTTCTCCTTCTCTCTCTCTCTTCCCCTTCCTTTCTTTCCAACATCTAACATTAGTACAGTTTTGCTTTTACTTGGAAGACCGGACAAGAAACAAATTCTTTGTACAACATAGAGAATCAGTAATTCCATTTAAGGGATCTCAAATTCTAGATGTCTATTATGCATCTAAGTGATAATATCAAATAAGCAACTGGTTGTATAACAGATAAGTAAAGAGATCATAGCTAGAGATGTAATTGTGACAAAGTCATGAGACAAAATGAGATCACTTAGAAGAGAAACTAAACTGAGTAAAGCATCTGGGATCAAGCCTCGGGAAGACTCATGTTTAGAAGGACAGGAAAGAAAGCATAGCCAAGACAGGAAACTACGAGAAAGAAGGAAAACCAGAATGCCCAAAGAAATCATAAAAGAGAATGTTTCATATGCAATTAAGCCATCACTTGCATCAGACACAGCTGAGGAGTATGTAAGAAGAAAGAAAGGTGACCATTTGATTTGGCAACATAGAAGTTAATACTGATTGTGACTATTGTTTTAATGGAGTACTGGGGAGAGAAATCCTGTTGAAGTGGGTTAAAAACAGACTAGATATAAGACTAGATCAATGGAATAGAACTGAGCTCATAAATAAATCCATATATTTATGATCAGTTGATTTTTCAACAAAGATGCCAAGGCAATACAATGGGGAAATAATTGTCTTTTCAGTAAGTGTTGGCATAACTGAATATCCACATTCAAATGAATGAAGTTGGACTCCTAACACATACCATGTAGAAAAATTAATGGGTGATATTCAAATTTTAATAGCTATAACTACAAAACTCTCAGAGGAAAACACAGGAGTAAATCTTTGTAACCTTAGATCAAGCAATGGTTTCTTAGATATAACATTAAAAGCACAGCTGATAATAGAAGAATAAATTGGACTACTCAAAATTATAATCATGTGTGCTTTAAATGATACCATCAAGAAAGTGAAAATACAATCCACAAATGGGAGAAAATATATCATATTGCAAATCATATATCTCATAAAGGATTTGTATCATAATATATTGCTTTAAAAAATCATAAAAGTCAAGAATAAAAAGACAACCCAATTAAAGAAGCAGGTAAAAGATTTGAATAAACATTTTTCGAAAGAAGATATGCAAATGGCCAATAAGCGCATGAAAAGTTTGTCAACATCATTAGCCATCAGGGAAGTGCAAATCAAAGTATAAGGATAATTCTCTTCCTACCCGTTATGAGAGGCTAACATACAAAAGACAGACAGTAGCAAGTGTTGATAAGCAGGTGGAGAAACCAGAACTCTTGCACACTGGTAGTGGGACTGTAAAATGATGTAATCGCTTTAGGAGATACTTTGTCAGTTTCTCAAAGTATCAGATAGAGTTACCACGTAACCAAGAGAAAAGAAGAATTTTTCCACACAAAATCTTCAACAAAGATATTCATGGCAGCATTATTTAAAATAGCCCCCAAGTGGGAACAACCCACATGTTCACCAACTGATGAAGTGATTAATAAAATGAAGCCAATCTATAAAACAGTATCATTTGGTAATGAAAAGAAATGAAGTATTACTGTTTGTTTCAATGTAAATGATCTATGTTCCTCACATACAACAAGTGGGATTTTTCTGAGTCTCTGTTTCCTCTATTAAAATGTGAACAATAACTGTCTTCCACCCAACGTCTGGGCAAAATTATCGAGGAAAAAAGTATATTGAAGTCCTTCATAAGCTCCCAAGTACTTCTATATCTAGAAGAACCTGTTTCATCTTTTAAGAAATACATTAATAGAAAAATACAAAACAATTAGCAGAGGACACTTACCTTTTCTTCAGAAAGGGCTTTGATGTACTTTTTGCCCACTTTTTTCTTCATTGTCCAGGAAATAGCTCTCATTTTTTTACCTAAACTTCCTCCATTATGTGAAGTTTTGTTTTGTTCTCCACTTTCATTTACGGGTTCCCCTTCATATACCTAATTAGAATTGTTTACAAAAGACAAAATAATGAAGCAATGAAAAGCATTGATCTGAAAACATCGTTAGAAGATTCCAAATATGTGGGCTCCCTGTACATTCTGTGCAGCAGTGTTCAAAATTTCAAACCATCTGAAAATAATGCATGTTTTAAAAATTGTCTAGGTCTGGTTACCTGTATTACAGACTCGGAAAGTAAAACTTGTGTTAGCGAAAGACATGAGCTTCACATCTGAAATTATTAAAGATAATTTTAGCTATATTTTAACAGCTGTATAGTAGAATTACTTCCTGTTTATGAGATGGACAAAATAGAAAAAAATGCCAGGCATGATGAGTGACTATCTACTTAGATGAGAGATAATTTTTGGAGGCCTTAGAAAGGCTATAGCATCTATCCATGCTCAACAGTCATTAACATACCTTCTTGCTTCTTATAAATTGAAATGGTCATGGTTATTTTTTAAATTTTGGAGTTAATTAAATCCACAGAGAAACTGCAGTTTTTCCATCTTACAGGTGATGAATATGTGCACATTTCCAACATTCTCAAGTAACATTAATTATGAACTGGTTCCAGCCATTAGAACAGGGATCTTCATGTATTCCACATACTAATCAAATCTCTATTTAGACTGCTTCTGATTTTTGCTTATTAAGAATTTTGTTAAACCAGTGATTTCTCATTTAACTCAGAATAAAACAATGTTCACAGCTCACAGGGCTCTATAGCAACATAATGTAATGTGATATAATGCAATTATTATAATACATATTGCAATATAATATTGTTGATATTTAGTCACTAGGTAGTGTCTGACTCTTTTGTACTCCATGGACTGTGGTCCCCCAGACTCCTCTGTCCTTGGGATTTCCCAGGCAAGAATACTGAAATGTTTTGCCATTTCCTTCTCCAGGGGATTTTCCTACCCAGGGATTGAATCCATATCTCCTGTTTTTGGCGGGCAGATGCTTTACCACTGAGCCACCAAGGAAGCCCATAATATAATATATATATTACATTATATAGAGTGTATATGAGATAAAGAATTCAAACCATCTCACCCCTTGCTACTTCTCAGATTTTTCTTATTCACTATAGGAATGATTCTCAAAATGTGGTTCTAAGACCAAGAGCAACAGAATCACTTGGGGACAATTTGTGTTTTAACAAACTCTACAAGTGACTTTGATACATGCTAACATTTGAAACAACTGCATTGAGTTCTGCTACACTAGCCCCTCTGCTGTTTCTCTTTCATATTCCCACCAATGTTTGTACTTGATTCAGCCGTTGGCTTTGACTGGATATCCACAAATGACTTTATTCATTCATCCAGGTTTCCACTGACATGCCAAGTAATAGACGAGAAATTTTCTGACTGATCACCCCATTTGAAATAGCCCACACATGTCCACACTCCCTGTATGTTTACTATGATTTATTCTTCTCTTAAACACTTAACAATATCCAATAATATATTTGTTTGTTCTTTATATTTTACTGCCTGCATCTCCCACTCTGATATGTGCTCCATAAGACTAGAGATTTTATCTGTTCTATTCATCCTTAGTATCTAAATAGTTCCAAGAACATAAGTGACCCTCAATATTTTTTGAATAAATAGAACTTCTTACATAGAACTTTGGCCTTTTTTTCCCCTTGGAGGACATTTTTGGGTGACATATACTTAATATCCCAGATTTGCAAGAAAGGACCCTTGAAGGTCACCTAGTCTAGCACTGTCCACCATCTCCAATAGGTGGGTGGCCAGTCATTCCCTGAATATAAAAAATCAAGGGAAACGTCTCTTTAGTGAACTTGAATATTTTAATTTAAGGTGTAATGACATAGTTAGCATCATTATTAATAAATATTATGTTTTACTTCATGTCTTACCCCAAATTGCCTATGATAAATATGAATGGACAGCCAGTTTAAGTCCTCATTGCACTTTATTAATGTCTACAATCAGGGTTATAAAGGCAAAGATTCTTTGCTTAATTTGAAAGCACTGAATAAAATATAACTTGAAACTACTTCAAAATTTTAGTGTTAGGCCTTTTCTTTTCTCTTTACTTAAACTTTTTCTATCTTCATTGTAAAGTTATAAACTAAAATAAGAAAACATATCAGTTTATTACTACCTGTGTTAACTTACCATTGCCTAGGTTTCAAAAAAGTGCCATAAATATTTTTAATTTCAGGCTTTTCTATAATTATTTACAGAAGCTTTGAGGAGACGATGTTGACATATTTTTAATTTCAATATTTTTCTGTCTTTTCTCTTTCATAGCCTGAATCTCAGTTTATTTAGATACTTATTTATGGTTTTTTGTTGTTGTTGTTGTTGTTTTAAAGTCTGTCTCCCCCTAGACTCTAGGCTTCATGAAGTAAGGATTTTCACCTGTATTGTAACAGTACTTTCTGAGTGCCTAAGGGAGATACTGTTGTAGAATAGATGCTCAATACACATTTATTGAATGAGTGAATGATGGTTTGCTAAAAAATGTACAAACTGCTTTATCAAGTTCACTAAATTCTCTCACAAATTGCTAGGCCACCATTACTAATCAATAAGTTTGAATGAGCCTGAGCAACTTTTATAGGTCAACTCTAGAATAAAACCTTAATAACAGTAAATATATCTATGTAGGATTATAGAAAGTTGAAGGTTTATACAATATGGGAGTTTGGGGCTGACATGTACACCCTGCTATATTTAAAATAGGTAACCAACAAGGACCTACTGTATAGCGCAGGGAATTCTGCTCTACAGCAATCTAAATAGGAAAATCATTTGAAAAAGCATAGATACTAATATATGTATAACTGAATCACTTTGCCCTGCATCTGAAACTGACACAGCATTGTTAATCAACTACACTTCAATATAAAATAAAGATTTAAAAAAAGATCAACAGGAAATCCCTCATGCTAAAAAAATTATATAGTTCTTCTCACTGTATACTCTTGCCTGGAAAATCCCATGGACGGAGGAGCCTGGTGGGCTGCAGTCCATGGGGTCACTAAGAGTCAGACACGACTGAGCTACTTCACTTTCACTTATCACTTTCATGCACTGGAGAAGGAAATGGCAACCCACTCCAGTGTTCTTGCCTGGAGAATCCCAGGGACGGGGGAGCCTGGTGGGCTGCCATCTATGGGGTTGCTCAGAGTTGGACACGACTGAAGCGACTTAGCAGCAGTAGCAGCACCGAATACTATTTGTAAAAAAAATACATTTGCGTTCTCACTATTTGTGTTGTATAGGGCTTCTCACTATTTGCAATTATGTAAATGTTGATAGACCATAAAGCTACATACAATTTTATATATTTATGTCCATGTAGGCATAAAGGTTTATTCATAAGTTTTTATATATATAAACATATAGGTGAATAAAATAGGAAATGTGTAATATATATATATATAAAGGGATATAGTATGCACACGTGCATATATATGTGCCAACGGAGGTATTTATAAAGAAATAGTAGATGTCATTTTCTTTCTACTTTTGTCTACAATATCCATTGCTGAAATAAACATATTTAAAGATAATATAGATACATACATATAGGAATCTGAAAGATATTCTGAGAAATTAGACATGATAAAGAAAATTCTTTGTAAAAAATAATAAGGCAATATCTAGAATGAATAAGATGTGCATAATATCTAAAGCCTATTGATCTAAAACAAATCTACCACATGAATAAATAAATCAGGTTTAATGATAAATATATACTTTCATTTTTCTAAGTGTATATCCCTCCTGTCTACTATTTTGTTAGTTGTTATACCTTCTTTAATCAGTTTTCACAGGTGGCCCATGATTTATGAGATAGTATAACAGAATAGCAAACTTTGGACAAGCTGTCGCTTTCTGCCTTTGTCATTTATGACACGTATGATTTAGAAGTAATTTTGTTCAAACATATTTCTTCAATGATAAAATAAAAATAATAGTATTTCCTACTTACAGGTAGGTAAAGTGCTTAATGTTAATGTTGTGCTTACTTCCTGGTAAGTGCTCAATTAAATGTAGTGATGATGATGACATCAATAAGCTTATAGGAAGCTTTTCTTAAGCTACATTTTAAAGTGTTCATGGTTTGTAAATGTATATGGGGCTTCCCGAGTGGCACTAGTGGTAAAGAATCTACCTGCAATGCAGGAGACGTAAGAGACGTGGGTTAGATCCCTGGGTCAGGAAGATCCTCTGGAGGAGGAAAGGACAACCCACTCCAGTATTCTCGCCTGGAGAATCTCATGGACAGAGGAGCCTGGTGGGCTACGGTCCATAGGGTCACAAAGAGTCAGACATGACTGAAGAGACTTAGCACACACACACTCATGGAATGGTCACCACTGATTTCATGGTTGAATGTCCACCACCATTTCAATGTGTACAGAGGTGTGAAAGTGTAAATGAGTAGCCTATGCTCCCCTTAACTAATTTCCAGTTAAGCCATTTAATCACTTCCTAAATTAAAACAATTATACTTACATACAATTTAACATGTAAGTCATTTCATATGTGTTACTTTAAATTATAATTCTCTTCTTAAATTGATGTTCTGCCTTCCCAAACATCTGTTAGGTTTCTTAGATAGCTTTTTACTCTTAATGCCCAGCATGGTGCTAGGTACTAAATAATTGTTCATTTGTCACAAAAAATGTATGCAAGGCTATGGTTTTTAAATATATATCTTTTGCTTACTATAATTTGCAAAAGTTATATTGGCTTCATAATTTTTCATAATGTTTTGTATAACACTCATAAAAATGGAATGGAATACTAACCCCAGTCAAATCATCTGGTTTTGCTGTGGAATTATTCCGAAAACGATCGAAGTTCCCAAAACTGCTGCTGCGCTGTAAAGTAGGAAAGAAAAAGCAAAAGAAACTTAGGATTTGTGACTTTCATTGACAAAACTGCTAAACAGATTAGATTATGGCTTAATAAGCCCAAGTCTCTTGTGAATACAGGATTAAAAAGACTCTTCTTTCTGGAATATCTAAAGGTGATGATGGTGTGTTATTAACATTCTAATATTTACAGTTCATAAAATGTCTTTTATGTTTATGGTATAGTGTTAAGCACCTTGTAGAAAATCTATTAAATTATTTTGGACTTATAGTGTTAATTTTGCTTTTAAGAATGACATGTGTTGCTAGACAACCAGGCAATTAATAGAAAACAACAAAACAAAAAAAGAAAAGCATTTGAGTAGATTCACAATTGTGCCTCATAAAGATCATATTTGTAAAAAAACTAATGCAAATGCATTTCCCATTGCTGACCCTTGATAATTTGAAACTCTCTACTAGATATCAGAAAGAGAAGGCAGCATATACACAGACCTATTAATAAATTGAAAAGAGCATTTAGGTATGCACGCTCTTAGGTTGGGAGTAAAACTGAATTTTTCCACATTTAACATGGAATTACAATGAGACCTCTAGGTCAATTTCATTCACTGGTTTTGAGAGAAAACTCAATATGTTAATAGAAGCCTTGTTCTCTTGGATACTTTTTGCCTACAAGGCTAAATTTTTATTCATATGTAACTCATTCTAGGCAGGCAATTATAAGCAATTCCTGATTACTGCAAAGTAAATGATTCTTCTAAAGACATTTTTCAAAAATCTTTAGTCATGGAATCAAAAATTGATATTTTCTCACTATTTAATTTTATATATTGTTTGAGATGGATATCAGACTTTACAGAATTTATATATGTTCTGTCTTAAGAACATTATTTCATTTTAAGCTTATAAGATTTTCAAAATAGGGTGGTGGTACTGAAAAATAACCTGATAATTAGAAAAGTTAAAAATGGGAGTCAGTAATCTGTAAAACTTTGTATGTCCTTTAAAAGTCACAGACCATTTTAGTTCAAGGCGGCTTCAAAGGTACTTAGTCCTTGCAAGCACTCTTATTCTCAGATCTTCCTACTAGCTATCTTTAAAACTCCTTGTTTCTCTTTTAAATGAGCTGAAATAAAAAGATCCTGCCATGTGACAAGGGGTGAGCTTGATAGACACTGTGATACAGAACACTACCCCAAGGATGATGGCTGTGTTAGACGCAATTAACGCCTTCTGCTGACTTGCTACCCTTGCTGAAGAAGCCCTTCAACTTGTGGCAAGAGGAGAGAAAAAGAAGGACTGAAATTGAAAACTACTCTGGAAAATACAATCTTCTCATGCAGGGCTTACGGACCTAGAATGATTTCCGAGAGCATTAATCACTTCAACTTGCCTAGTAGGCATTTCTGCCAGGCCATCATTGCCCGGAAATCGCAAAAGGGAATTGAGTGTGTTCTTGTTCTGCTTATAAACAATCTGAACACAGGGAAAGCTGTTACTTTTTTATATACTTGAAGCATTCTTATGGCCTATTGGAGCCTGTGCTTAGGGCACTTCTGTAGTCTATGCCCTGCCTATTAAATATTAATGAAGGTTACAGTGTGTTATCCACCACTGGATAATGGGTCATGTTGCCCAGAGGGGCACAGAATAGGCTCACCTCAGCACTTCTCCACAGTATCTTCTGCCATTAAGTAATCAATAGTCACCACCTTTTAAAATTAATTCTCCCTTCATTATATCAATAGAAGCAGATTGAAAAGTAGTGGTTTTCAGAACTATTACTTTGGGTTTTGTCAGTCATCTCATTACAAATCACTCAAAAGATTCAAGCCAGAGGAGTAAAATATCAATCCATGCTAAGAAACCCTTAAGAAGCAAATCTAAGTATTTAAAATAATGTTTTTAAAATTTCATTATTCTCTTGTCAGAAAATGACTTTCTGAGATGGTTTCATAATGTATAGGCTATGGCTTATGATTAAAAAGGACTAATGCCTACTATGAGGTGTGGATAATGAAGAATGTGTAATTTCTACTTGTGTTAACTTTCTAATGAAAAGGTGAATCATGTGGAGGTAAGCTGGTTTCATAGATGATAGTCCTTTACAAATGAGAATATGTTTCAATACTGATCATTTTGCAGTGTATAATTGTAGTGGATTAGATTTGGCAAATATTATTTTGTAAAAAATCTCCCATCAAGACAGAGCTATTATATAAACAAATAGGTATCAACAAAAGAGTAACTTAAATAAAAAAGCAATTCACATTTTAGATAATTCTTTGCCTCTGTTGGATTATATTTAGTCTTCAACTATAAATCTGTATAGTTTTTCCTTATGCGATTAGATATGTTTGTAAAATGACACACCTGTGTAAGATAATTTGGAAAAACTAACAAAATTACATGCAATTACCCTTTGACCCAAAATTTCATTTCTAGACAACTAAATCAGATACACTTGAATCCAAATTGATTTGCACATCCACATTCAATGGAACTTTTTAATAGAAAAGCTATAAACCTCAATGTTCACCAGAAGAGGACTGATTGAATAGTATATGGCAAATTCAAATAGTAGAAATGTGTGCATCTGCAAAAAAAGAAATATATCACTTATCTGATGTGGAATGATCCCAGGATATAGTGTATGTGAAAAAAGTCAAACATAGAAAAATGTACATAATAAACTGCTTTTTATCAAAGAGTGGAAACACATCTGTATGTTTCAATACAGGCAAATATGTATTTCTTTCTTAGAGAAATTGGGTAAAATAAGCAAAGACAAGGAAAAGAAGAGAAAACAAACTTTTCTAAATATGCCTTGTTTCATCGATTTGACTTTAAAACTATGTAACTTTAAAAAATATTTATAAACAAATGTAAATAAGAGTAAAGGCAATCCATAACAATTCCAAATAAAAATAATGAATCTAATTTTATTTTGAATTGATGGCTTACAGAGAGGAAATATTTTAAGCAACTAATAAAAAACAGTAATTTGAAGGTTTAAAGAACAACAAAAATGACAAATTTAACCTGTTTTCCAATCCCATTTACAACTGCATCCAAGAAAAGTACCTAGAAATAAATCTAACTATGGAGGTAAAAGACCTGTACTCAGAAAACTGTTAGTCACTCATGAAAGAAACTGAAAAGGACTCTTACAAATAGATAGACCATGCTCATAATTTGGAAAAATTAATATTGTAAAAATTATCATATTACCCAAGGCAATCTGTGAATTCAGTGCAATCCCTATCAAAATATTAAAGGTATTTTTTACAGAACTGTATGAGTTCACAAATAATTCTAAAAATTTTATAGAAACACAAAAGACAGTAAATAGTGAAAGCAATCTTGAGAAAGAAGAACAAAATTGGAGTAATCACACTGGCTGATCTGAAACTATACTATACAGCTACAGTAATCAAAATAGTATGGTATAGACAGAAAAACAGGGACATAGATTAATGTAACAAAATAGAGAGCCCAGAAATACACCACATGGTCAATTCTACAACAAGAGGAGCAAGCATATATAATGAAGAAAAGACAGCTACTTCAACAAATGGCATTGGTAAACTGGAAAGCTATATGCAGAAGAATGAATTTGGATTATTTTGTCACAGTGCATAAGAAACTAAACTCAAAACAGTTTACAGACTTAGATGTAAGACCTGAAACCATAAAACTACTAGATGAAATCATAGGCAGTACATTCTTTGACATTAATCTTAGCAATGTATTTTTTGGATATGTCTCCTCCTGCAAGGGAAACAAAAGCAAAAATAAATGGGAATACATAAAGCTAAAAAGCTTTTTCATAGCAAAGGAAATCATGAACAATAAAAAAAGGCTGTCTACTGAACAGGAGATGATATTTGCAAATGATATATCCAAAAAGTGACTAATATCAGAAATATATAAAGGAGTCATAAAAGTCAGCATCAAATCCCCTCCTAGAAACCCAATTTAAAAAATGGAAAGAGTACCCGAGTAGATATTTTTCCAAGGAAGATATACAGATGGCCAACAGCACATGAAAAGCTTCTCAAGATCACTAATCATCAGGGAAATGCAAATCAAAACCATTTGACATTTAATAATGTCAAATGACTATTATCGAAAGACAGCAAATAGCAAGTTTTGGCAAAGATGGAGAGAACAGGGAACCGTTGTGCACTTTTTGTGGAAATGTAAACTGGTGCAGCCACATTGGAAAAGTTAGGAGGTTCCTCAAAAAATTTAAAAATAAAGCTATTATACAATCCAGCAATTTCACTCCTGGGCATTAATCTAAAATAAACATAAACACTAATTTGAAAAGATACATGCATCCCTTTGTTCACTGCAGCATTATTTATAATAACCAAGATATGGAAGAAACCTAAGTACACATTCATACATTAATGGGTAAAGAAGATGTGGTATAAACACACACACACACACACACACACACACACACACACACACACAGTGGAGTAAAAAGGAAGGAAATCTTGCCATCTGCAACAATGTGGATGGACCTAATGGGTATTTTTTTAACTGAAATAAGTCAGACAGAGAAAGACAAATACCGTATGATTTCACTTACATGTGGAATCTAAAAATCCGAAACAAATGAACAAACACAACAAAATAGAAATAATCATACATACAGAGAACAAACAGGTGATTTCCAGAGGGGTGGGAATGGAAGGATGAGAGAAATAGATGAGGGAGATTAAGAAGTACAGATTTCCAGTTAAAAAAGAAATGAGTGAAATTGTGAAATAGTCAATCATTCAATAATAGCATAGCATCTTCGTATGGTAACAAATGGTAACTAGACAGCCTGTTGATAATGTTGAAATATATAGAAATATTAAATCATGTTTTACACCAGGAATTAACATAGAGGCGTAGGCCAATTAGCTTTCCAAGTGGCTCAGGGGTAAAAGAAATCTGCCTGTCGATGCAGGAGATGCAAGAGATGTGAGTTTGATCCCTGAATCAGG